ACAGATAAATAATATTTGTTCATAAATGCCCCAAGTTTGGAATAAATATGTGGCAAAGTTTGCACGGAAAATGTTCTCCCTACCAGTTTGTTTCAAAGACAGAGAATAGGTTTTTTAACTCGTTCGTCAAAATAGAGTTACATTTAGAATTGTAGATTCTTTGTTCTATGTAGATAATTGACGAAACTAGTTCTATAGACAGAGGTTATAGCAAAGTTTGCATTTTACTTTACTCCTTTTTTACTTCTCCCTTCCTTTCACCTTTCGAGGGTGTTGGTGAGTATAGCACAAATCTTCCTAGTGTTTTCCTTTCCTATCAATTCCTAGCACAGCCAAGCATTGAAAAGTTATATCATCAGTCTTTTTCCAAACACGTGTTCTTATCTTATGATTTCTGAAATGAATCCATGGCAAAACATTTAATGCCTTATATATGTGTAATTCTGTTGATTAAAGATTGAAATTTTACCTGATTATTATTACTTTTATATTTATTCATTTTCTATTAATTTCACTTTGCTTTTGTGATTTCACTTTGCAAAAACCTTCAAAGAGCATACTGAAAAAGCTTAAATTGTTCGATATTTAAACTTCAGTCATGTTTCCATCTTTGGGAGTCGGATCTGCTCTAGCTGTATTTTCCATGCATCTGGAAATTGTTTGGTTTCGATAAATATCAAACAGAAAAGCAAGCGACATTTCAATAAAATGCTAAGCAAGCCTTACAAATTGGCGGCAGCTATCAATTATTTTTTTGTAACATTCTTCCTTTTTCCAATTGACATTCTTTTCGGAGGTTTTATGAATCCTTGGTTTCTTCCAAATAGTTGTCTTATCAAGGGTTATTTGATGCATTTATTGCTCTTTAGAAATTCATTTTTCATCGTTGAGTAGAATTTTTGAGACATAAAACCTTATAATTTATGTAATTTCTTTTACGTGGTTGACTTATGTAGACAGTAAGGCGCACGTTAGGAATCATTAAAGTACAGTTACTAAAGTGATTTTACCCAAAAGCAAGAAACAAAATTAGAAGCTGGAAAGTAAATCGATTGATTCTCATATGGATGGGCGCGTGATTGCATCAAATTCAGGATAAATATAAATTTATAATGATTTTTTATTTGTTTTTTTCAATAGACGTTAACAGGCCAAAGTTATTATTTTATTTTAGTGCAGTATTTGTAATAGTTTCTGTGTTATAAACGGTCAAAGTTACGAATTTTCAGCAAAGCTTTGACGGTGCAAAATTTAGTTAAGTTTGTATGTCAGTGACGTCAAGTTTGGGACACGAAAAGGGCATCTTACGGCTTGCGGGCCACATGCTGCCCTTTCGAACTTTTTGTCCGGCCGAGTGTGTATCAGAACATGAACTTTTGGAGGAGCATTTTCAACATGGAGTACACCAAAATTTCATACATTTTTTAAACGTCAATATCTATATCTTTCTGTTACCAACAGCAGCTAAAATATTGTATAATTAATTGCTTTCTACATTGGGAGAAAATGAATTACGCAGAATAAAGAAATCGTCCGTTCGGCCATCAAACGCAGTTCAGGTTTCTCATAGAGCCCCTTGTAAAAATCAATTGCCCACCCCTGTTTTATGTACATGTATGGAAGATGCATAATTGATTTATTAAGAAGGTTATTTTCCTCGTTATTTCGAATCCCCTAAGGCCTACTATGCAGTTTTTGGTTAGTTGGTAAGTTTATCTTTAATATTTTGAAGTCTTGAGACAGGGAGTATTAATCTTTCAACAAGATTCAGTTACTGCGATGATACTGATTTTTCCCGATGCTTTCCTTTGCTCGTTTGTTTATCGTGTCCAGAACTTTGCTTCTGAACTTTTCGATTGCCCCAAATCTTCGCTCGTAATTTTGGTGCAAGGAGTTCTTAGAAATTTCATGATATGCGAATGCCAAGAAACAGTGGCGTAGGAGCCGGTTGGGCCGGGAGGCACGTGCCTTCTCCCACTTTTTTGTTAAGCTTGAATCATGTCCTTTTTGTAGATGAGAAGTGACCCGATTGAGATGAAACAGGTGTCACGTCATTGCTCGATTTCCATTTAATTGGCTCTTTATACAATACTGGAGCTGACTCTATTAAGCTATACACCATTTTATCTTTTCATTCTTGGATGACAAATCATGTTGATGCATGTCTTGTAGAAATAAGTAGAAGATTTGATGATATGCTATATCGTATACACCTTTAGAAAATATAGAAAATGCCTGTCTGGATGCTGAAAATGGTCGAGAGTTTAAAATTAGTAAGCAGTTGAGGAATTAATGCAAAATAGACTTGGATTTTTTCAGTTGATACCACAGTTAGAAGTTTTTCCAGAAATTGTTACAGGGGCTTCATGGCCGGTGGGGCAGGGGGGCGTTGCTTTCAAAATTTGACGGATTTTCGGAAAAATTATTTTTCATTTGGAAAATTCTCAAACTTGAGCTATAGGTAATTCCCAAACTTTTAGCAACATAAAGTACTTGGACTAAAGTAATTAGCGTAATTTCGAGGGGCAATTCACTTTTGTAAAGAAAATACTAGATTTCCACAAATAAAAATGATTTCTCAGGATTTACCGATTTCTACCATAGAGTCATTTCCTGCTCGGATTTCGTCACTTAAAATCCAAATCTTCAAGGGCCAACTTTTTAATATTGGTCATAAATTATATTTTTATTTGATATTTAAGACCGGAACAGGATTTGAAAATTTATGCAGTTATGATATGTTGCGTACGGTAAAATAAGAAAGAAGTTGGTAAAACCATTGTTTTCCCCAGTTGAAATTCAATTTAAAAATTTTAGACTTTATTATAAAAATTTGTTGGGTTAGAATGAGATTTCCAGCGAATTTAAAGCATTAGATTATAAAAAATTTGGTGCCACCTCAGGTACCCTTATCTTTATCTATGGATGTCAGGGATGTTCACGGTCAGTATGAAGAAATAGAGACAAGATAAAACTGCATTTTTTTCATTATCTTTCCAGCTTAAGCAAAACTGATGAGTTTTTCTGCCCCACCTCTTACACTAACATGAAATACTTTTATTTGATTAACATAATTCGCAAAAAATTTTGTCGGAAAATTTTTCTTTCTGGCCCTCTCTAGAATTCATTTGCCACGACGCCCCTGAATTGTTAAGTGCCTTGCTCGAAGTAAAAGGTGTTGACTCTTTGAACACAATTGTAGAAATTGTGTGTAAAAACAAAAATCAACAACGGTGTCACTTTGTTGTTGTCAAAGTACAGTGGAACCTCCATATAACGGACACTAGTGGGAAAAATGTTATTGTCCATTGTAGAGAGGTGTCCACTGTATGGAGGTGTCATCTCTTTATACCTTTTGTTTTGGGACTCAAAAATCTGTCCATTGTTTGGAGGTGTCCGTTGTATAGAGGTGTCCGTTGATGGAGGTTCCACTGTACTTATAATCTACCTTTTGGCTTCATTGTCTTCTGCTTCAGCAGAAAGATTATTTCTCAGCTCAGCGGAGAATAAAAAGTTATCTGCAAAGAAGTATGACAAAATGAAGATACGACAACTTGATTATGCCTTATTCTCATCAGCAAATTATTGATAAAAAAGAACTGGTTGCAAAAGACTTTGTACAGCACAAAGATAGTCGCCAACAATATTTTGGTAAATTCTAAGTAATAAGGTCTTTCATCCAGGTCTTATTCAGTTTTGTCTTTTAGTTAACCATGAGACTTCTCAGTTCAAAAAGAGCCTACTAAAAGCTTGTTTTATTTGCTTATTGAAAAAGTGCTATAACATCGTCCCATATAATCTTGAGTAACAGACTTGCCAAGCTGTATCGCTAAATGGCTGCTGAAGCCAGAAAACGAGTTTCAATTTCTCAGTAGGCCTACGCCTCTGGCAAGAAATGCTGAAGAGATGTTTCTTGGTGGGCCGAAGCGTAAAGGACGAGTTATTAGAAAACAACACATTTTAGAACTTTCTTTCTGGAATATTACAATCTAAAGCACAAAGGTTTGATTGCCTGGTAAAATGATTCTTGTAATTTGTCTACTCCAAAAGTAAAATGATACAGACTTCCAGTGACACGAAGTAGAAATTGCCAGCGTGATCTTGGGCTGGATGGAATAGATTTCTTAATTGATTCTGATTTCCTTTCACCTTAACTGTTACACCATTTCTATGACTAGAAAACAATTGGCAAAGCCAGTAAATTGAAGTTCAGGCTTAATTTTTCGAAAATCTGAGGCTGAATTGTTCCAAATTTGTTCCTAAATTTTTAGGGTATAAGCAGTGCTAATGCTAGCTTTTCGCTCTAGGGATGTGTTCATGCCTCATTTGCCAACAAAGTGCGTGAGAAAACCTTCATTTGCCGCCATGTTTAAATATTCACCGAAGAAGCATCCCTAGATGGCAAAGAACTCCTCGTTTTTGAAATGCAACATCCGTCTCAGCTTGTTCTTAATTTGTTCTCAACTTCTGACCAGTTTTGAAGCTGGTGTTCTTATAAAATTGTTCTTATAAAGAGAGAGTGTAAAGGCAATACAACTACCTTTGAGAACAAAAACAACCATCTGTTGTATTTTATATGCAGCAGGGTAGCTTCCCAATAATGATCTTTGATGGCATTGAGGGAAGCTTTGATACCCTCATCTTGTGAAATGCTAGTGTGTATATCTAAAGTGTGTTGTAAAAAATGAGCGCATGCTTTTTGAGTCCAGTATGGAGGGTTGCCTCACTTATTAAAAAACTTTCACTTGCTCGTCTCCCCAAGGTTAGGCAAACATATCGGTGAACTTGTGGACACACTGAGCGGGAAGGGGAAGAACTTTCCTTAAGAAGTATTTCAGTGTTACGGGAACTGAGTGCCAGTTCCCAACATTTCCAACTTTTGCCAGGGCAAATTTCTTTCTGCAGGGCAAATATGCAGCCACTCCCTTCCCCCTCCCCCTTAACATGCATTAAAACGAGGCGTAATGTCCGGGAGGAATTCAATTCAATCGGAAGCGGCCAAAATTTAGCGTTACGTTGTGCCACAAACAAAAGACCAACAATCCTCAAGAAGGGAAGTGCCCATTATTCTCGGAACTTCGTATGGTACTGGAGCAAACTGAAACTTCTGAAGTGCAGTTATTTGCTTTGTCCTTCGGGTCACTTTGCGGTATCTAAGCTTTGTTATTAACCGCAACAATAAAAAACATTTGACCTAACTCTTGCTGTACAATGTTGTGGTGGCCTAAGTCTGTTATGCTGGCGGTCCAGAAAGTGTCCTGTGATATGGAAAGGTGTTACTAATATTGGATTTGGTATATGAATGGTAAAGAAACAAAAACCTGTTAGAGAAACTGTTCATTAAAAAACAATATTCCTGGATGATTTGTGTCAAAAATTGTTTAGCTACCTCGAATTTTAAAGACCTCGAAGGCGTGGCCTGGGGTTTCAAAAAGGTTGTATCAAAAGGAATATGTCAACTTCAAGAAGTTGGTACGAGATGAAGGATGTGAGAAAAAGGCTTACAGCAACTTTAGGGCTTGGTGCAGGTTTGTATTTGTATACAAATAATAACATTGAAAGTTTTTTAACCATACTGCTCATTTATTTTTCTTCCCATTTTTTGAAATTTTAGCACTATTTTCAAGATAATGAATCAAATTCTTATTAGAACTATGCATCCGATTGCTTTAAATTTGACGAAGATGACTGTAGTACTATTTCTTGTAGTAGTTGGCCCAGAAAATGGGAATTAAGATGGTCTTCTTGTAGAATTCATGTAGCTTACGCCGGAGATGTCCGGCGTGGGCTGACCATTTCCCAATATATTTCTAGGTGTGAGCTTTGAACTTGGAGTCCACCCTGGCATAAATGCTCCAAGAAAGCAGTCAGAAATCTATCTCGTTTCGTTCAGCTTTGGAATTTAGTGCCAAGGCATTAATTTAGACAGAAAAAGTTGGTTGGCAAAGTCAAAGGTTGGGCAGTAAAATTTCCTGGGAGTGTCTTTTGCAGTAAATCTTATTTTTCATGACCTTCTACCCTCTTAACTGGAAGGGCAAGATACACTACTGCACATCACAGAACAAAGTAAAACTATAAAATTGTTTTCGTTCTGTCAGGAACAAGAATAAACCTTATAACCTCAAACCCTCTGCCCTTGTTAGCAAATTGCTGCAAAATGAAATCAGGCTTCTAAACCAGATTTCCTTGTTTGTCTTTAGTCATAGGCATAGCGGATACAAAATATTCTGGAGGCTTAGTATGGATCTTTCCTGAATACCACTGCTTCATTAAGATAGAATTGCATGAATAGAGTTTGAAATGCCATAAATTTGGCTTGATTAGGGGGGCTGCAACCCTGTCAGGCCCTATGTCTCCTACCCTTTGTCTTTGATTGCAATAATTGATTCTTAAAATACAAGACCAATACATCAAATAAAATTCAAAGCAAAAGCACTTGCAAAACGTTTATTGTTGCTCCCCATGGCAAATGCAAGGAATGAATGAATAGATAAATTCATTAATCGATTAATTAATTGGTTAATTAAATAATCATGTTACAAAGAATTTGAAATTAATACATTGGTATTTGATGGCAAATGATATCATGCAACTTTCTCTTGAAACCCACATTTTTTCCAATCAAGGGTAGTTTGTTAAAGGTTAAATATTGTTTTGCATAATGTTTAAAGTGTACTTAAGTCTGTGTCAGGATCTTCATGTATCTAGAAAGCACCAAGGAATTGGATTTTTTTCATTAATTTCGAAATTTTTACATTAATTTTGAAATTTTTATTGATTATAATCATACAATTTGCAGCAATTGAGCTTACCTAAAGCATCTTTCACATCAAGATCTTTCTCCTATGTGTTCTTACTAGGACAGTTTGTATCTCTTTCTGTCTCTTCCATGCACTATCTTGTTGTCACCTTCTGCCTTGCTGTCTATCACCACCATTGATATGTGACCTGTCTACCTAAGAAAGTTTCTATCCTAGTTTGTTACAATGAAAATGAAAATTTTTCTTCTGGTCTTTACGTTTCTTTTTCTTACCAGAAATAGTATAAAGTTGCATATATTGACCTTCCTGACAAGAGGGTAGACCATGAAATATTGGATTTACCAAATAAAGACATAGTTAAAGACAACTTTGATTCTATTCAATCTACATGCAATTATATCAAAAAGCCAATGATGTTGTTGACCAGCTCCTTATTTTCCTGGGTAACTCATGAAAAATTCAAGGGTCTTCAACTCGCATAAACCACCTCCTGTCAGATAGATCACTGATTTTGTTTCTCTTAAGTTCTTCCAAGCATATTGCTGTACTTAAAAGTTTTGTTTCCTTATCACTTTCACCTTAAATATTTTGAGTTTTTTTCCAGCATTACTGAATCTTTTTTGCTACGTGAGCAACATCCTCAGTAATTCAATAACATTTTTCTATCTGTCTTCCAAATATACCGTATTTACTCTAATATTCCCGCTTCTCTTTTATTCCCGCCTCTCTAGTAATCCCGCTTGTATTTCATAGATTGTAAGAATAATCCCGCCTCCCCAGTAATCCCGTATGTGGGATTGAAAGTTTTAATTGGCTTTTGCTATTCTTTACACGCTTTTTATGGGTTGAAAATCAAGGATTGAAACTTATGCTTGGAGTGAATGGGTTAAATCACATGATAATGTCATAGACGGGAGAGGGCAGAGAGCTGTTTTATTTTGCAAGTTTATCAAACATCCAAGTCTTGCAACATAAAAAGACGTTTGATTCTTTGACTTTGTACTACTGTCTATTGAGCACAATATCTGCTCTGTTTTGTCTGTGAAAATAAATATCCCACCCCCATTTAATTTTAACCCCCCATTCATGTTGAAATTGCATATTTTTTTCTCTGACTTGCCACAATCACGTTTAAGAGACTTTTTTGTTGAAACGGTATCCTCAAACTAGACCTCAAGCATTGAAAAAATAATCCCGCCTCTCCAGTATACCCGCCTCTCAAATAATCCGGCCTTTTTTTGTTAAGTTGAAACACTAATACCGCAGCGGGAATATTAGAGTAAATTCAGTAAATGGTAGTGGGGGAGGGGGGGCCCTGGGTGTTGAATATATACATCTTACAAAGATTTTAGGAAGAAAGATGAAACAAGTGATGAAATTTCTTCAACAAATGCGTATTGAATTTTAGCTAGGAGGTTTATAGTTACACAAATGTAACAGTCACTCCTGAAACCTTCTGAGTTTGTTTATCCCTGAAGAATTCTTTGATACAACTGTATTTTCTATGATCTTTGAAACCCCATGTATTGTCTTTTCTTGTTAATTTATGGGGTGTCAATTTGTCTCAGCAGTTTAACAATAAACACAGCTTGATGAACTACATCTAGTTTTTTAATGCTGCTAAACACAAGCTGTCTTTATCAAAAGCCTGTCTACTTAGTGAAAACTTGACCAATCTGTACCTATTGATCACTTATTGTGTTTCTGTTTGCTTGCATGCCGATATTTTTTGTCTCTGTTTTTTTATTTTGTTCTCCTTTATGATATCAACAACAACAGAGTTTTCCACCTTTTTTAGGCTCTAGGCAAATAGTTTGAAATGTTCTTTTAGTTGATATTACAAATTACTTTTAATTTGATATAGCCACCTACAAAATTTAATATAAATTTTCTTGTACCTGCCCGGCACTCCAAGTCAATGATAGTTGTAGTGACAGCATCTAAGAGCTATTCAAAAAGCTTCAACGTTTGAATTGGGAGCTGGGGGAAGTTTGGGTACCTTTTTGATATAGTTTAATGTTATTTCAAAAATCTCAACCATTTTTTAGGATTGTAGCATAATTAGATAAAGTTTTTTCAATATTCATTTGCACAAGTGAAATTTCCATTAGAGCCAGTTTATTAGTTAGTATAAATCAAATGAAAGCAGTGGATTGAGATTTGGGGAATTTCATAATTCAATATCGATTTTCTGTAGGAAAAATTTGAGTCCGCGCCTGTGATCATGAGGCATAGATCCATAAGATCAGTATAAAATATCTTTGTTTAATTGACCATAGATACACATACATTGCTTTTACCTTTCTTTTTGTTATTTGGCCTGTCACTTATTTGTTGTAGCCTTAACAGTTTGTTATAGACAACCAGTCTGATATGCTTCTGCTTTCTTGTCCATAAAGAGCTACATTTTTCATTTATATGAAAAATTCTAGTTGCTTTCTTTTGATGAATCAATCCCATCATCCTTCAGCGTGTCAATAAGTTCCTGAAAATCATAAACAAACCAAACCTATCCTTATCAGTTTCAAGAGTACAATTCGAGGTGATTCCTCAGTGTGTTCGGCATGATGCGTGCCAAATTCTCGTTGTCACAACCTACAATCCAGTCAATACAATATCTTACTGCAATGTAAAAGGTATCTAAGCCCATCCCCTTCTTACGTCGTTCTCCTCTGATCCAAAAAAAATGCGTAGACAATCATGGCTGGCGTATGCTTTGATTCTCTGTCTTTAGAGCTTGACTATCTGCCTTCTCGTAAATTTTTTTTCGTTAAATATTATTTTTGTAAATATTATTGAATAGTTTTCAAGGTTAGGTGTTTTTTATGAATACTTATATTTGGTATATTTGGCCTCACGGTCACTCTGAAACGTATATCAGTTATTCGATAGTGTTTGTAAGCTATAATATAGAGGTCTCAAAAATTTGCAGCTCCAAACTAAAGCACATTGTTTATGCTTGTTGAATTTAACAGCTAGTACTGAACCTGATATCGAAGTTTAGGGATCATTATATTGCACCTTTGAGCCTTGAATATGATGCACCAGAGTTAAAAATGCTAGCAAGATCTGCAAAGAAAAATGGACGCAGCTGTTTGATATAAAACTGGACAGAAAAAGGACTAAATTGAGTAAACATCCAACTGTTGTCAGCTGATTAGCTTCCTTTCAACACAAAACACGATGATCGCACTGACTAGTTCTAACTGTGCTTTTTAGAACATGTAAGGCGAGATAATTAATATCAAACGGCCTTTGCAAAAAATTGAATTCGCTTCTAGCAATCCAAAAACATTTGTAGTCTTGCTCGCTCGCTTTCTCGTCATTTACGAAGATAAGTAGTAGTTTCTTCATTTACCAAGAGACCCGAGTAAGTAGTTTCTTCCTTCGATGTGAATGTTATAAAACTTCCCCTAGCGGTACCCGTCTGCTTATTCGCCCGATCATATCCAATTCACAGTCAACCCCAACAAACTTTTTTGCCAAATCGAGCCCCCATGATCTTATATGTCCTTATAAGATATGTTCTTATAAAAAAAAGAATCTATCTACAAAAGTTCATGATCTCATTATTTAAAAATGTTTTATCTTTCCTAAACAGAACAGTTCCAAATACGAGAAACATGCTAATATAATAATAATGCGCTCGTCTAAGAAGGTATTGGATTCAAGTTACCACTTTTCGACGTTCATAATGAAACATAAATTCACTAGGCCTAATGGTAGCCTCTTTGTCGGAGATTTTGTAGCCGCTGATGATCGCCTCC